AATACCCGAGTTGGCAACAGACCATCCAACTAACTACAGTACCTAAAAAAATAACATTGGAGCTACAGGCGTGAAGATAGCAGATAGCACGAGCACTGCCCACGGGATCTCTACCTTTTTTTCCCCTCTGCCCTTCTCCGCAGGTATGCAAAGCCGAACCTTAGCGTCACCAACTATAACTATATATAGCAAAAATGAATTCAGGGTGAAACATGCCCGCTAAATAGCTACTAAGTTACTAGGAGCAAAGGGCATCGCTACTAGGACGCTACGAACGGAGCAAAGGCTTACCGCACCGAGCCCGAAATCCACACCGAACCACATCACCCATCACCGATCGGACCGATCGGACGCGCCAGGAGCTCGTCGCTGAGCTCAGCGCCCCGCTGGCGGCCGCGGTGGATGCCCTGCAGGATGAGCTCCGAGGTGCCAGTTTAAGGGCGTAGCTTGGAACGCTGAAAGGGGCAGATGGACCTGGGGGGATTTCCTGACCTTGGCGCGGTGAAAGATGTGCGCTAACCTTCCCCTCCCCCAAAAATGGTTGAGGTTCCTTCTGCGAGATTCCCGACCCATTTGGGTTTGATTCCATTGGAGGTTGGTGGATGGGTGCCGGGTACCACATGGTATATATCACGTGGTGCATCATAGTACCACCATCATTTGCCACCTTTCCTTTCGTTGAGCGAGGTCGGACACCTCGAGTCGGCACCAGACCGACCCGTCACCATGGACAAGGATTTTAAACGCCCGAATTGGATTGCTCGTTCGTTTCAAGGGAATCGCCGAATTGGATCATGAAACTGAAGGATGCTAACAACTAGTAACATCTAGTAAGTAACTAGGATCTAGGACTGAGGCAGTGCGGCTCTTGAACTCGAATGGCTGCGGGTGTTGCACGCCTTGGGTAGCCGGTGTTGCCTGTCACCAAGGATCTTGCCATCCATCAACAGTTTACACCAGCTGTTCTTCTCCACTGTCCGACGCTTATTCCGACTTCCGGGGTACAGAATAGATGTGGGGCCTGTGGAGCTTGTTTCCGGTGTTGCTGCATACTGAAAACTCGATGAGCTTGGAAGTGGCACCTGGAGCAACATGGGATACACGTGTGACCTGGAGCTTTCAGGAACCACCAGCATCATAACCTTGAAGCAATATTGACGTCAAAACACCTTCCCCTTGAAAACAGTGCGCACACACACACATTGAATTACATTCATCACCTCCAGGATGTCGGAGATTCGTTTTACCAATCGTTTCTCGGGCTTTTTCGACGAACGTCGACGTTTTTTCCGTTTACCAAGGTGATGCTGCACTGGAACTTGCACGCCCCTGCGCTCCCGGCCTCTCAGAAGTTGAGCTTTGAGTCCTGGATGGCGTTGAACCGTGCCTTGGAGGTCACTACCTGCGAGAGCTTGGAACTCTTGAGTCGGTTTTTGTTGTCTTCGGGTCTTCTGCTGAACGTGTACTGTGCAAGGGAAGGCTGTTGGTAAACGGTCTTGCTCCAATGTTTGGAAAGGTGCATCCGATCCATCATTCGCCATTCTTATGAGACTGTAGATTTCCCTCTTCTCCCACGGAAAACGGCTTATAATGGCTTCCAACACTTTCCTGTTCTTGCTACATGTCATCTCAATGCTACTTGGGCTCTTGCTCCCCGGGCAAGTTGCCAAGGAAGTGGCAGCAAGGACCGGCAACTTGTGCTTGAGGTATTGAGAATGCCTAAATGGTGCAAATGGTCTGAAGTTCCTTCGGCTCGTTGAAGACCTGCAGTTGGGAACCATGTTGGAACGCAGACGATGGTGGCAACTGAATGACATACAGCAACTGGTGTCTTCTTGGGATTGGACTCAGCGAGCATCTCACATCAAAGAGACCACCCCAAAGCATCATCACTGGTACTAGGACAAGTCTGTGAAGGCCAACTGGTTCAGGCCTGGTTTCCCCACGTTCTGGGTAGGGCCGTATCATATCCTGCAGGAGGATGTGCCTGAGTGGCTGCTGGAGAATATCTACACCACCGTGGCACAAGCTCCTATCAAGGAGCTTTCTTTGGAGCCTGATGAGGCCTTGCAACTTGGACCCTTTCTGGCGGCCCATTGCTTTCACCAAGTGAGAGGGCCCCTGTAGCACCCATGGGGTTTGACTGGAAGAGCTGAGGCGAAAGCCCTCACTGGGCTCCATAGCTGCAAAAGGAGCCCGCGATCTGGGTCGTGTATGGGTCATGTGGGCGGGCCTGGGATTGGTCCCAAGAAGTGGAAGGATGGCATGGTGTGAAGGCCGCTCAGGCCCCGGCCCTCGGAATCTTGGGATGGGTCATAGCGGCCATAGGAGAACACTTATATAGAGATCCAATTTTTAACAGAATACATCGCATGTAAATCCTCCCAAGATCTCCCAAGCCTTGAGCAAAGAACGCCTGAGATCATTTCTTTCAACGAACCTCACATCCTTCCCGTCAACCCGTCAGCTCGCCCAAACGCTCGGCCGCAGCCGCAGCCGAGCTTGGAAGTCGTCCCAAGGCCGTAGCCATGGCCTACTGGTCATGGCCAAAGCCGAAGGCTGGGCGGTCGTCCAGGGCGATGGCCCCGGTGGAGTGGCCAAAAGCAACTTCTTAGAGCCTCGACTGAAAGGAGTGGCCAATGGGCATGGGGCGTGATGTGGATCATGTAGCTGGAAGTCTTTGGGGGTAAAGCCGGTAAAGCATTTCGTTTAAGCTAGCTGGCTTGAGAGATCTCGGCCGCTACAAGAGCTCATGAAAAGAAAAGGGTGGAGCCTTTGAGCGATTTCGTTCGGACGAGTCAGCGGACCTTCCCTGTGGACGTTGCGAAAGATTTCGGTCGCACGGATCTGAGGAATGCATTCGGATGACTGGCATGATCAGCAGCACAGTTGCATCATGTTGCATCTACCACTGGGCTTTCTTCGGGTCCTTCAGATATCACACCCACGCAGATATATAGTGACATTACTATACGGGTACTGTGTATATCAAACACAAAGTTTTACAATATTAGATGTATTTGCAATATTATCTTTAATAAACACCTATAAAATCCTATAAACACAGAGTATACTTAGACATGTATATAAATATTAACAATACTTCACACCCACTCCCAACAATGTAAGGCCACTGCTAGATTCCCCCAAGAGATAGCGATGACTCCCAAAATCACCGTGCACTGAGGCGAGGCGACGTCTGCCAGGCTCTCGGCGCGCGCGGAGGCGGGGCCGCGTCGCGAAGAGCGACGTGGAGGGAAGGTCCCGCGGCGAAGGAAAACAACAACGAACCAAAAACGTTGTTTTTTTCTACTATAGGTTCTTTGTTTAGTTACTGTATTTAGTATTATATAGACATCTTTTGGAGGAACCTGTTTTGGGAGGTTCTTTGTTCGTCCTGTCGGGTCGGGTCGGTCGCTGTCTGTCTCTGTCTCTCTCCCTTTGTCTCCCTTTGTGAAAGTCGTATGGCATTATGGGTCTTTCTGGTTATTTGGTCAGACCCGACGAACTGGGAGAGGTGAATCCAGCTTTCGGACCAAGGACTCGCAAGCAGATACCGTGACCTTGGCTGAATTCAGGGTCGAAAGGGCTCCCAAGCGTGCAGGAGGCACGCTCCTCATAGCAGCCATGTGGCTCCGTGGATGTTCCTGTCCAGTTGCTGAGGCACTCTGGCTGTCCTTGCGTGGGCCACTGCTCTTCTTTGCTCGGGAGTCAGGGCCCCTGAAGCCCTTCGCCTTCCTCCACCTCACGCAGTGGCTCACCGAAGTGGACCCTGCAAGGCCCGGCGCATCCTCGGACGATCGGAGGGGCCCCACGGGTGACGGACGATCTGGGGCATGGTGCCAGGTCAACGTTCATCTTGCAGGGCTCGGATCGGGAGAGGGTGAAGAAGGAGGAGCTGAGTTGCTGGAAAGTGCTTGGCCTGTTAGGTGAAGGGGAGCGTGAAGGTGTTAAGCCGGTTAAGCCCAAGCCGGCGACTTAGGACGTATAGGAGTCCTTAGGAGATCAGAAAGTTGGCTACGACGAACGGTCTGTATTGGGCTCCAGGACTCTCCAGCCACCCGCCCGACCTTGCAACTCATCGTGCTCTTACCGGACGGCCGACACTCGGGGTGATTCAGCCGAGCCGCTGCCATCCGAGCCGTCAACGCGTTGTGGAGATGGCAGCGAACCAACTGGTACACATCTCCCTGATTACAAAGAAACACGATGCCCCCAAGCAAACAAAAATGACATCAATCTCTTATTGGCATTTGGAACCAGGGCATCTCTACCTATACTGGGCATCAGGTAATTTATATTCACCTTGTTGGCACATTTCTTACAGATAGCAATGGTTCAGATTTTCCGCACCACGGCCACGTTCCCCACGCCCTCCGGGATTTTTCGCTTCCTGGTCGCATGGCGCAAAAATCCGAGGATTTCAGGCCTTCGAGTTTGCCCAGCTGGCCTTTATGGTGGGTGACAAAGATCGCCTGGCCAACTGGCTGGAAGGCCTCGCCTCCTTAAAGGAGCTGCCGGATCTGGGCGAGGACGTTCCCGTCTAAGGCCTCAAAAAGGTCGGCTTGCTGGCGCCGCGGGAGATGGCAGAGAGGGAGATCAAGAGACACACGTGAACCATGTGTTGCAGTTGTTTCCGCAATTTTTCTGAAGGGATCTCAGGGCCGATGATTGCCCAAGGCTGTACCGGGTGCCCATCAGAAGTCTTTGAGCATGCTGGGTTTCTGGCTAGGAAGGCCTCGTCCCCTCTACGCTGTGCCTGGGGCGATCTTGGCTCTGAGCCCAGATGACGCCGTGCAGATGTGATGCGTCATGTCTGTCACGTGAAGTCCAAATGGTCTGTCAGAGCGCAGACGCGCACACGAACACAGGTAGCCTCCACCTGTCGCGCTTGGCGACAAAGGCATGGTGGGACGAATGGGGAGGCTTTGTGCTGAGTGACCATTAAGCACCCTCCTGCTGAGGGTCTTCAATCATGTGGAGCTGTCTTTTCATGGTGCAGACGGGCTTTCAGGATAGGCAAAGAAGTAGGAAGTTCAATTCCGACACATTTTGAGCCATGGCGGCTGTTTTCCCTGCGAATCAGGCGGGCAGCTGACTCAATGTCTCTTGACCACTCAGGTCTTTGATTTGGGTTTGGAGGAACATCTTCATGAGGATTTCCACCCGCTGAAGAACACAAAAAATGCACTTGAAAGATAATGAAAGATCTCTTTGCTTCCAGGGATTCCAACTAAAGGCACGTCAACTGCCAACCGCCATGTGGGTGGCAGGTGATTGTGGTGGGCGGTGGCCTGGCCGGCATGTCTGCGGCCAACACTGTGGTGGAGCTGGGTGGCCGCAGCTTGCTGCTGGACAAGTCCTCCTTCTGCGGTGGCAACAGCACCAAGGTAGGCACAGCCGAAGATATGCGTCCTTTGTGTTGATTCACAGTAACTACTGTATATAGTCAATATCTACATGTCCACCCGTTCTCACCTTTCTACTCCGTTTGGCTCAAGGAAAACACGAGCGCGGTATCGTGCTAAGGCTGGTTGTCAGCCGTATCGTGTCGCCAACGCGTGGTACGTTCTGGGCGGTTCCTAGCTTCCTCCACCAGGGCGTAGGTAACCCTCAAAGTTTGTAGAACCTGCTTCGAATGGCTTGGATGACGAACGCTACGTTCTGACGACTCTTGGCCGAATCGATGAGTGACAACCTCCCTGCGTGTCAGGGAGTAATACTGAGCCTGCTGTTGCAGAAGATGCTCAATCCTTTGGCACAGCCTGGACTTCTCAGCCATTTTTGGTCTGTGTTTGGACTCCTGCTCCGCTTGAGGCGCGCTTGGCGCTGGAACTAGTCCTCACAGTGATGGTGGTCTTCTTCCTTCTGAGGATGCCGACGAACCTTGAGTTGCCGCCGAAGCGTGGTTGATGTCGGGGCTGAAAAGTTTGCGTGTGGTGACGGCTCCACCTTCGAATGGACGTGTCAGTTTAAACTTCTTTGTCCACTTGCAACTTGCAATGCACCCGATTCGTCAAAAGTGGATAAAAGTGGTACGATCATTTTGGCTGGCAGCATAATGGGGAAGGTCATCTGGGCCTAGGCGGCCCAAGGCGGTGCGGCCTCCTGACCTTTTGTGTGAGGGGTTCCTGGTGATCGCTGGGCTTGGCGATGCCTCTTGCGTCATTATGGTGTGCCCGCTTCCAAGAGACAGTTCATCTCCAGTCAAACCAGTTCCAAGGAGAAGAACCGCCACCGTGAGCTGCATCATCCTGATTGTCCTGCTGCGGAGTGGGCCCGCTCTGTGACACGCGCGCCTGTTGCTCCTGTGTCCGTTCAACGGTGTCGGGTCTTCGCGCTCAACATCGCGGCAGGTTCTCGCAAGCTTTCAGTTGGCCCGTCCTGAGGAAGCGCAAACGTGCTCAGGGTACTGTTCAGACTTGTCCAGTCATTGCAGACGGGGGGGCAGTTGTGCATTTGTCACAAGGCCACAAGGCCTTTCGTTTCTTGCCAGTGAAGCTTGTAATTAAGCATTCTTGTGATTCCACCGGTGATAGTGTGCAGACTGCGCCTGCAGCAGTTGGCGGCTGCTGAGACTGCATGTCGTGTTCTTGGGTTCTTGGTATGAATCCCGCGTTTTTGGTGCGTTTTTTTGCCACTGCGCGGACAGTCTTGAGTGAGCAGGAGACATCATGACTTGGTTAGGCACGATGAATTTGCACTGGAGTGTGCAAGTGTAAAGCTGTTGCCTTGGAAGCATTTGGGTTTTTCCTGTTTGCTTGGAAATTTTGACGCAGCGGCCACTTTGTATAGGGTGGCCATTCTTTAAAAATTGCAGATTCGTCAAATTTGGTTGGATGGGATGGTCTTGTAAACGCATTTCCTATTGTTTCTGGATGTGCTTTGCAAAGTATGCTCGTCCAAGACGTGGGCAGGGTATGGACACACAGGCTGCTGAAATCAGAAGCATGTCAAACTCTGGGGGTCTGGGGTAGAAGAGCCTTGTTCGCGACTCGTTGTCTCAGCGTTCGCAACCGTCCACAGCCGTCTGCGGTAGAGCCCTAAGGCGCTGCCATTGGGGCAAGCTCTTGGAGAGGGTTTTGCCTGGAAGCGTGACGGGTCAGATTCGTGTGAAATAGCGAGGAATCGTGTGGAAACGTAAGATGTTGAAGCGTGGAGGATTCACTGCACAGGCGCAGCGTTTTGTGAGATCCGCAGTTTTCTGCGTAGTCACATTGGGAGTGGCGTTTGGGGAGTGGTGTTTTGGGGTTGTTGGATGCGACTGTGACATTGGGATTGGCGTTTCAGGGCGCTGCGTCGAAGCTATGTTTTTGTGACAAGTCTCGTGCGAAATGCTCGTTTTGTAGACTTGACATGTGACTTTCGGAGGACGTCTCGTACGAAACGCTCGTTCTGGAGACGTGACGGTTGACTTTTGTGAAAAGAGTGTCCCGCAAGAGTGTCCCACAAGAGTGTCCGACAAGAGTGTCCCACAAGAGTGTCCCACAATAGTGTCCTACAAGAATGTCCCACAAGAGTGTCCTAGAAGAGTGTCCCACGAGAGTCCTAGAAGAGTACGAGAGTGTTCCACAAGAGTGTCGCACAAGAGTGTCCCGCAAGCCACAGGGGTGTCCTGCAAGGATGTCCCACAAGAGTGTCCTAGAAGAGTGTCCCACGAGAGTCCTAGAAGAGTACAAGAGTGTCCCGCAAGCCACAGGGGTGTCCTGCAAGGATGTCCCACAAGAGTGTGCTACAAGACAAGACAAGAGTGTCCGACAAGAGTGTTGCACGAGAGTGTCCCACAAGAGTGACATACAAGAGTGTCCTACAAGAGTGTACTACAAGACTGTTTCGCAAGAGTGTCCTACCAGAGTGTCCCACATGAGTGACAAACAAGAGTGTCCCACAAGAGTGTCCTGCAAGAGTGTCCCACAAGAATGTCCTACAAGAGTGTCCTACAAGAGTGCCCCACAAGAGCCAGAAGAATGTCCAACAAGAGTGGCCTACAAGAGTGTCTTACAAGAGTGTCCTACAAGAGTGTCCCACAAGAGTGTCCCACAAGAGTGTCCGACCAGAGTGTCCCACAAGAGGGATATACCGGAGTGTCCCACAAGAGTGTCCTACAAGAGTGTTCCACGAGAGTGTTCCACAATAGTGTCCGACAAGAGTGTCCCACAAGAGTTTCCTACAAGGGAGTCCCAGAAGAATGTCCTGCGAGAGTGTTTCGCCACATTGTTCCACAAGAGTGCCCAAGAGTGTCCCACAAGAGTCCTACAAAAGTTTTCCGCAAGAGTGCCCCGCAAGACTGTCCGACAAGAGTGTCGCACAAGAGTGCCCCACAAGAGTGTCCCACAAAGTGTCCGACAAGAGTGTCTTACGAGAGTTTCTCACAAGAGCGACACACAAGGGCATGGGGTTCAAAAAGAATCTTTTATTGGGATCAAAAGAAAATTATTAACACCATCAAAAAGAAATTTCTATGAAGATCAAAAAATAGTAGACAGGATGGGAAGGAAGGAAGGAAGGAAAAGGCAGGAGGGAGGGAAGTTAGGAAGGAA